AGTCTGCCATGCACCTATAGTGAACTCTCTGCTGTCAGATTGTTCTGAAGAAAGTTTGCTCTATGTTCATAGGAGCCATTTGTCTTAACCCATGAGGGCCTTCATTAAGAATTTCACTTGCAGCAGATTGCAGTGCTAGACAGCTCTTGAAAAAGGGGAAATCAAAATCCCTGACAGGACAGAATGATTTTCAGTAATCAATTTCCTGCATTTCTAACCTCTAAAAGCATACAATGATCCCAAACTAATTTCCAAATGCCTGTTTTGTACCTGGGCCAGGTACATAACCACACTTCTGTGGCTGGCTGTAGATGGCACTCTGATGAAATAACCAAACTGTGTTTTGTTTTTGTGAAGTCCTCCATGTTTTGCCCACCATGGAGAGTGTTCAGTGAAGGGCAGCAGGGCTTGTGAAAGCACTAGAGAACATTCCTTGTGGGAAACAGCTGAGGGAGCTGGGGGTGTTTAGCCTGGAGAAAAGGACACTCGGGGGGACCTCACTACTCTTTACAACTCCCTGAAAGGTGAGCCAGTCTTTTCTACCATGCCTACAGTGAGAGGACACGCCTTAAGCTGAGACAAGGGAAATTCAGGTTAGATATTAGGAAACTTTTTTAATGTTTTTTTTCACCATTCATCAAACAAACCCACCAGAAGACCTACAAATATATTACACATTAATGGTACATGAATTTTGCACTAGCCGTAAACAAAGCTCAAGAAATGTTGCAAGTATCAATCAACATTGAGAAATCAAGTTAGAATTAAAATATCCTGAATCAGAAATGTGGTTTCAAAAGACAAATTATGAACTTCCACTGGAAACAGTAGATTCAATTCATATACTTAGTCATTAATGAATCACCGCAAAGAGCTATTTTAAAAAAAGGAAATATGTAAAATTCTTTGCAAAAGACAGCAAAAGTGATCACTCTTACAGAAAAGTTAGTGACTGAGAATAGGTAGGATTTTACAGGCTGTTTTCCTTGATTTCTTCATAGCATCTGATTTTGTGATTACTTCAATTCCAGAAAAAATAATAAAAAAAAGGGCCAGAATATCCTTTTGCATGCTGTGTCTGGTGCTATGAGATACCAAAAAATTGTATAAAGCAGCAAAAATATGACACAATACTTAAGCATTCCTTCTGTGGAGATAATCTGCCAGGAATTCAAGTAAAATGGACACTAGTATTCCTGGTCTTCTGGTTAGTGCAAAATTCCAGCTGTTAATTAGCAATTCATTATCAATAATCGAATACTGAAGAATATTTATGATTAAAAATGCATTGATTCTTAATTGAAAAGAATAAAAAAAAATCTTGATTAAATAAAATTTAAATAATGGAGCCTTCATATCTGATCCAAGTAGGAAAGCACATTGGTAATGGCTCTGCTTCTCTTCTCTAGATCTTTCCATCTTCATCCCATGCTGCTTTATTAACGTAATCTAAATTAGTGTCACCAAGAGATGTTTTTCCATATTACAGAATCCTGAGTTTTAGAGATTTCTCATTCCCTTGTTAGCTGAGAGCTTCATCTTGTGGCAATGAATTCTAGCAAATTGGTATCTTTAAAACATACACATATTCCTAAGTGAAAATGTTTTACAAGGAGACATGAATTTTAAACCAAACAGCTGCAGCTGATATTAAAATTGAAAAGTGTGCTCAGTTCAAATGTAGATATTGGCTGGTTGTTTTTATTTTAATAAAACCAGATTATCTGAGATGCATTTAGAATTCTGGGCTTAGTCAAGATTTTTCAACTATTAAAACATGCCTAGGCAGGAAGCCTTCACAAATGTTTTTAGGACAAAAACTCATAAAACTATCAAAATAAGGAGTATTGACTTTAAGTATAAACAATAAAGTATTGGAACACATGGAAATTTTGCCTTCAGATAAGATAGTCACATAATTTCAGTGTATTAGCATAGTGAAATGGTTATTCCCATGCTTTTATGAATAATGAAATATACAATACGTACAATCTATAAAATATGTAAAATAGCCAGGACTTCATTCATTTCCTATGAGAAAGTGAAATGCTAAAAATCATTCTGGAAGAAAAAAAATCCAAAAATGTGTACGAGCCTTTTAAAGGGCTCAAATTCAGAAAAATAAAATTGCTTTGATTTGGCTGTTATAATAGCAGTAAGAAAGAATCATGCCACAATGTCAGTAATATCTGCTGTAAATTGTAGATATCTAATAATGAGAGGTTTGATGCATCACATGAAAAGGGTGTAAGATGAATGTTATAGAGGATGGCAAAAATAGGTAGTATATCTTGGACAGGAAAACGTTACAACAGAAATACTGAAATAATTCAGATGATTTGATAATGGAATGATAATCTGATATTTGTAGGACTAATAGACAGTTAAGAAGAGTGCAGTTGAGTACATTAATTGAATTACAGACTCCTTTCTTTCCTCTGATTTCCTATTCAATTCTACTGTTTTACTGGACCACTATCATATGTCATTCATTTCACAGTGGGTTGAATGTACCTCTGTGTAGTTGCAATTGCTTTATACTTCATTAATAAAGAGGAGGAAGTAAAAGGCAATCAGTGTATGATTAGTATGCAATGTGCTTTTAGTGTTGATCTATAATAACCAAGCTGTGGTATATATCACATCATAAATGTATTATTGTGAATCCTCTAATATGTTAATATATAGAATATAGTTAATAGTAAGCATTTCTCTTTACAAAAAAATTAACCAGAAGCATTTTTGATACAAAAAGTGGTTTTCTGAAGCATGATGCTTTTTCAAAGAGCTAATTCTTTGGCGAATTTGCTGGCTGCTGTAGATCTGATTACAGCTATATACATTTCAAACTCCTCCCTCCGAGAGACTGTTCTCATATTTTTGTTTTTTAAATGCAAGTTCTTGCCTCAGAATTTCTTCTCTTTAATTTAAAAACCTGTGTATTTGCAAAAATTCTGTATCAGATAGCAGCAGAATACATTTAAAGAAGGAGAGTGCTTAAATCTTCACAGTCATTGTTCTTATCCACCTGAATTTCACATACATGATACCAGCGGTATCCTAGCATCCGATCTCAATGAAAGAAAATCAAGGAAAATTTGGTTTATTTAGCTTATCAAAGAGAAGGCTAAACAATAAGTGGACCCAGTCTGTAATTACCAACACAAGGAGAAGTTACCTGATACTAGAAAGCTCAGCAACAAAAAGTGTCACAAGATCTATCAGAGTTCAAAGTAAAAATAAGGTGCAGATTTTTAACCATTGCAAGAATTTAGCCTTTGAGGTAGCATTCCACAGCTGACCTGTGACTGAATGGGGGGAGCACATAATCTCTTGCATGTGTCTGGGTGACCTCCAAAGAATCAAGCTCCTTCCCTTCTTCCAATCTGTGTTTAACTGGTGTGGAAAGCTGAGGTGAACGAAACAGTGTCATCAGCCACGATGTTGGTCTGAGAGTTCTGTCTCATCTGAACAGTACAGGGGGAACACTGTGTTCCTCTGACTGGTTTTATCAAGGATTGAACTAACATTTGAATGCTTTTCCGTGTGCTGAAGCACTTTTGTGTTGTTGCTGTTATTACCATCCTCTCTGAAACAGACTCATCATGGTTATGAGAAAAAGGTTGTACACCAAGTGCAGACTTAAATTAGCTTTTTCATATATGGATATGTGTTGCTAACTTGAAGCCGCATCAGTGAAAGGATTGAAGAAATACAATTTCATTTCCTCAAGCATGAAGGATAACTGACAGCAGCAGCATATGGTCTCCCTAACATTTTCCTGTTCAGAAGCTGGGGGAGGTCATGATTATGGAAAGTAAAGACCTCAGAATTGTGAGTAAAGCACTGCGAGCTGGTGTACGACAGTTTCTGTGTACCTTATGGAGAACAGAGAAACTCAGTCTCTTCAGTCTGAAATGTTCTTCTTGCATTCCCTTTAGGGAAGGTGTCCATTGTATTCCTTCCATGGAGGCTGCAGTTCTCTCAGAGGCTGTGGCTTAGGTAAAGGCACAGTCTACAGAGCCTGGGAAATGTAGATGGGTGTGGTGAGGATCCCCATCCCAAAGAACTGACTCCTCTTAGGAATGCCGTGGCAGAGCTCACCTGAGCAGAGGTGCAGGGCTGAAAGGAGCCCTGAAGGGCTGAAAAGGATTGGGAAACAATTGTTCTACGGTGCATGATACAGATGAGACAAGTTAATAAAAATGTCATTTAATTAAATTGTGTCTTTTTTGTCTATTTTTTGAACATCTGGAACACCGAAAGAAAAGTGGCAAAGATAATTTGATATTAATATCTAGTCTTATATTAATACACTCAATTGAGAAAATTTAAATCAGTGTAAGCAAAGTAACTGGAAAAGCAGTGCTAATTTTTAACTATTTTATTTTAAAATATTTTCACATTAATTTAAAATGCAAAATTAAAATTGTTAAATTTTGTCCATGGTTTGGGGCATTTGATGTATCTAACTTCAGAAAAATTATTATGGTGACATACTGGCTTTGCTAATTTTTCTACTTATTAATGGAATGTGAGGACTTGCAATTTATGACCCTGAAGTGGATGTGAATAGAAATTTATATTATTTTGGCTGTACTTCGCACAAGGCAGCCTCAGAAGTAAATCTGGCGTCGATAGATATCAGATAGATAACTGACAGCTGTGTCATGCACACTGTTGGATGAAGATAAAACTAAGCATAATTGCAAGTGTGTCTGTTTCCCTGTGCTTGTTTGTAGAACTTGGGGTTTTGGTGTTCTTGAGGAAATTAATTTGATGTGACACATGAGAAATAGATCTTAGGAGTATCAGGTTACAGTAATTACTGATATTCCTCTAACACCAGGTACTCCTTTTCTTACATTTCTTAAAAACATTCAAGTACATTTTAAGTTGCTGTTTTTAAATGTTAAAGGGACATGAATAACTTAATTGATAGGTAAAATTTCCTCTGTTCTTATACAATATTTTATTGAAAAAGTCCTGCTAATATCTGTCACCTTGACTTTCTTTATAGGTTCTTGCCTACACTGAAGGCCTTCATGGAAAATGGATGTTCAGCGAGATTCGAGCCGTTTTTTCAAGACGTTATCTTCTCCAGAACACAGCTTTGGAAGTGTTTATGGCAAACAGAAGTAGGTCATAGTTTGTATTTGTTGCATAAAATTGTGCTAGTGGTTATTTTGTATTTTATTTTTTCATCTTAAAATTAAAACTCTGTTCTTCCTTTGATAAAGTGCTTATCAAATGTCTGTTCTATTATGCCTACTCTTGTATGTATCCAGCGCAAATTTTATTAAAATTAATCACATAAATCAATCTCACTGCTTTCTATGCAGCAGTGAGATTTATTTACTGAACCAGATCATTGAAATTGGGAAAATTCTTCAAATGTTGCACAGGAATTTGCTTTTTCTATTGTCTCACCCTTCTTCTCAATTGTAAATATTTTAGTGAAACACATGATCCTAAGGTCACCCCAGGACACATATAAAAGGATATCTTATTTTCTAATTATAAAATGAATTACAGTTAACAAGTACCAGGGCAATAAATGAATCCACTTAGTTTTCTGTATGTGCTACTCTGAATCACAGTTCACTGGCTGGTGAGGTGTATAAGTGGTCTTTTACCCTCAGGAGCTCTGATGTAAGTTTTGATTTCAGCTGGAGAGGAAATTAAACAATTCCTTCTTCCTGGGTGTTTTCAGGGGCTAGTTAGAAGAGCAAATGCCATGCCAGCTACTGAGCAGCTTCTCAGCCTGATAAGAGAGTTTGTGGGTTAATAGTAAGGCGTTGTACCTCTGAAGTAAACAACAGTCAGGTCTTCTGCAAAATGGAAGATTTAATGCTAAAATGTTAACCAGCTTATTATACATGGGTGTGAAGAATGTCAGGAATTTCTGTTGTACCTTGGATCCCCAGGAGGATAAAAGTGGAACTGACTTCTCTCCCCACATAAAAACCTGAGCATTTTAAAAATATATGCAGGTGAAGAAACAGATTTCTGCAAATGTTTTACTGGTACATATTTTCCTTTCTTCATTTAGCTTCTGTAATGTTTAATTTTCCCGACCAAGCAACAGTGAAAAAAGTTGTGTACAGCTTACCACGTGTTGGAGTAGGAACCAGCTATGGTTTGCCACAAGCCAGGTAATTTAATTAACATAGTTTTTATATTTTGTGTTTATTATATTATACAGTTGATATATTTTTAAATGTCAGTGCTAAAATATTATTCATGTAAAGAAACTAGGTTTTCTGTTTTTTAAAGTTAGTATGAGAAACATTACCCTTTACTTACTGTATGGCCTGTTAGAATATGGAATAGAAGTAAAAGTATTGTAAATTAGACAGTTAGATTTTTTTTTTTCTTTTCAGTTAAAGGAAATAGATGTCTTCTGGTGCAAATACTCATACCTTATCTCTTCAAAATCTGGTTTCCAGTCAGGTTTTATAAATGTATAATCAAAGGTTCATCCTTGCTGTGATTATTATGCAGGATGTGAAACTGAACTCGACTAGATCTGTGTTTGATGAATGTAAATTATTTTATCTATATGAATGTGTGGTATTTTACTTTGTTTCTTATCAGTGTAGTGGCTATTTTGCAATTTTCAAATTTTTTCCATTTGTTAGTATAATACATTCTTCTTCTTTCCTTTCCAAAATTAAGGAGCGTATATATTTTTGAAAGAACAACTAGGTTGATTTTTAGAGATTTTCACATACTATGGGCAGCTGCACTTTTTTATTTCCTCATCAACATCAACATCAAATCAGCCTATGGCCAATAATAAGGCTGGAAATTGTCAGATCCTGTATTGTAAAAGTATTCCTATTAGATAGGATATTATAGGAATAGGTGAGCTCATCTTCACGTGTACTTCATTGTCTTGGAGTGGGGGATATTTTTTGTTGGTTTTTGCGGTTCAGGATTAACTTCTGGTGAAAAGGAGACAGAAATAAAGAAATATAAGGGAGTGAGGAAACAGCATGATATTAAAAAAAGATGGTGCTTTGGGCTCAGGCCCCCATGTGGCTTGATTTGGCCAAATTGCCAGTGTCTTAATCATCAGTGTAGTATCTGGGATGTATCTTTCTTTAAGTCATTTCCTACAAACTAAAACTTCAAATTGTCCTTATTTTATCCCAGCACAAAATGTGAAAATACTCTGAAGTGTCAAAGCATTTGTAGAATTGCAGAACTTTTTCATTCCCAGATGAACATCATTCCCTGTCACGAGCCCAAGAGTCTCATGATACCTTCGGCTTGATCTCCTGAATGTGCTGAAGTTTTTAGGCAAACTGCCAAATTTCTCAAGTTTTCATTGAGATCAAGGCAAAGTTGGGGCATTTATTTGGAAGGTGCATCTTGTTAATATTTGCATTCTTCCATATACTAAAGTTAAATGAAATGCTGTCTCTAAATGGAAAGTAATAGTATTCTTTTCTGAAATAGAAATGGCCACATGTTTTAGCACAAACAAAATGCAAATTTCTCAATCAGAATTTCATATTTACAGTGACATTTTTTACTTTTGAAATTCATATCCTTTGTGCATTATTCAGTGAATAATTGTCTGAAAAAGTTTGTTGATATATAATTATTTAGAAAAGTTTCAGCTTCAATATAATATGCAGTTATTTCCATACCTTTTTGATTAAAGTTCAGTTTGAATCGAAAATGGGCTTGCTAGCCTTCAGACTATATCTGGCATATGGTAGTGAAGTGATTTTTCTTTCTTTTTTTTGTGTAATCATGGCATGATTTATGCAAATAAAGGCTCTGTAATCATGTTTTTTTTATTTTTTCCCCTGTCTACATACCCTTATTGTCTTCAGTAGGATTGCAGTGGAGTAACTCAGGGGAAATCTGTCTCTATGACTGCTCTGTAGTCTATCTTTTGTTGATGTCAGTATAGTTTTCCTTCCTATGAATATGTTGGCTCTGGAATGCTAATTTTTAAAATTATGCTTATTTGTATAACTAAAATAAGGAGAAATTATGCTGAGTAAACAAAAGGAGCTGCTATACTGAGTGAAACATTATGCTTTTCTTTATCATCATAATTTTCTAGATTAACTTGTACCTTAAAATATCTTAACAGATCTTTCTGGTTGTTTTGGTTAAGTTCTTTGGTTTAATTTATGCAAATAATATTTCCTCTCTGATACTACTTTGATAAACATCACCTAGAGTTAATTACAGTATCATAAAGGCCTGCATTCATGCTGGAAACATTCCAAAGAAGTAAATTTTGCTGTACCTAAATGCATGCAGTACATGGCTTTTAAGTGTATTTCTGATTTCATGGTGAAATCCTGCAATTAACAAAGGTGCAAGGAAGTAGAAGTAAATAGAAATATTTATGATCTGATGACTCAAAGGATTAGAAGCAGGTGAACCATTATGGCTTCCTAAGACTTTGCAGACCTGCTGTTCCGAGCAAGTCTTCAGTTTGCCTCTTTGCTTCCTTTCCAAACCGCCTGTTTAATGCTTTGATTAAACAAAGAGTTCAAGCCTGTGCTTATTATTACAAAGGAGTAATTGCATCCTTAAAATCAGTCACATGTTGAAGAGTTCAGTCTGATTTGGTAATCAAATTAGTCTGTCTTTGATAAATGCATTTTCACTCTTCCTGAAACATGTTGCATTGATTGTAGTTTCCTTATGACCTTGCCAAATGATACAACTGGGCAGATAATGCTGTGTCTTTTAACTTCTGCAGCTCCATATGAGTCTACATAGGTAGAGTAATAATCACTTTTTTGGCATGGTATTATCAGACTGCTTTTTATGGTTCTAACACCTCAGGTGTAATTTACTGATGTCTTTTTATTGAGGGCAACATCATAGCTCAGAAAACAACTGTGAGCCGCCTGATGGTTTTGTAGCGTATAGAGATCAAAGAATTGGTAAAAGACAGTATCTTCACCACTAACTGACACCTTCTAGTGAGATTTTGTGGGCTATTAATGAAATAGAGAAAACAATGGCTTCAGTGAATAAAACTAAGAAATTCAAATGACTTCTTTTTTTCTGAAAAAAAATGTGTTTTGGTTGTTACAGTAACCTAATTCAACATCAGGTCAGCTCTGCCATGTCAGCAGCTTGGTGATGGATTTCCAGATCTCAACACAACTGGTTGCAGAGGTTGAGTTTTGTGAAGGGAGAGAGGTAGAAAAACTAAGATTTGATGCCATCAAAGCATAAAACCCCTTCTAGAATTTCGATTAAAAGTGAATGTTGATGAGTTTCTTGCCTTTCCTTGGGAAATTACTTTCCCAAATATATGTGTTTTTTTTGCTCTAAACAGGAGCAACACAACACATAACATCATGTAGGTGCAAGATACTTAAATATTCTTTGTATGAGATTGAATTGTAGCTAACTAAATGAAAAGTGACTGTGAAAGAGGGTGTGTCACATTCCACATATGGGATATATAATGCCCCTTCCTTTACCAAAATTGCATGAATTGTTTTCTAAAAATATTTAAATGTATAAAAATTGAAAACTTGGAGCATTTTGTTGTAATCAGAGTCTTCTGCAGTTCCCATTTTGAGCAGATACTTCATCGTTCTCTAGCAGCAAAGGAAGCACATTCATTTGTGCATCTTCATATTGGTGATGGCATATTGAAGAAAGAAATGGTTTGATCAAAGTTGGGTGGTTTTAGCAAAACAGAAAACAGTGGGTCTTCCTGTATTAGCTGAAACAAGAAGGTGTGGAACCAATTTATTGTGCATAATTTCTTCCACTCTCTGCTGAAAAAAATATGAATCTTTCAAACACCGTAGATATGGAGTAAATAAGGACGTTTTTAGTATATTTTGATTTTCTGTAGAGTTCACTCAAATCAGGCATCCAAATGCAAAGTCCAGCACTTGACAGTTTATAGATTTTTGAGTCACCCTAGGAGATTGTGAATAAAGACTAAAAGCAGCTACTAAGCTGTACTGATACATAAATGTTGTTTTCTCATGGGAGGAACAGAAAGTCTGTGACAGAAATGCTTTGTAAATTTAATGATCTCTTTAGTAGTTTTATTTTCTGTGTTTATTAATTTGTATGTAGCATTAGTCAAAATTTACTGGAAACCATATGTCTTTGAGAGTTCTATGTAAGAACTGTTGTTATTCTATAAAATGCAATATTAAGTATGATTACATTTGGATATTTCTTTAGATAAATTGTTTCATAAAGATTATAGAAACAACTTCAAAATATTTTGCATTTTCTCCTGTGTACTGTAAAGTGTATTTATCTTTGGTATCCTATAGTCTACAGTAAAATAAGGCTAGCCAAACTGGCAAGACCTAATGTACTGTTATTTGGGTAAATACACTTGCATGGTCATTTTTGTATGCCCAGTTTGTAAGCTGAAATATGGCAGATGTTCATAACTTACACACTGGCAATTTAGACAAATAATTGTAATAACTGTACACTCCAGTCACATACCAATGTTCACTCATCCTTTCTCTGGAAAAAGTTCAGTGCATCTCTAGGAGTATGTACATGCATCTCTAGGAGTAGATTGTTCACATATTTGCAAACACTGCGCAGTTTGACACCTTGTATATGACTAAGTTTTAAGAAGATATTCAGCTTCCAAAGTCTAGAAGTAACACACAGTGTACCCAAGGTGCAACTGAAAGCTGAGGCATTGGGTGTCCCTATTTAGTCTTGATAAACTATATAAATACTACTACATACATTCTTTAAATTCACTGAACTCAGACTACACATTAGGAGTAGTATTTTTTGTTGCTGTTGTTTTTAACAGATACAGATATTTCTCTATTTTTACACATTGATAAGATCTAAATTTCTTTTTAAAAAGGTATTTAAGGAGATGAATTTATTTTCCTTTTAAAAATTTCCTTGTCTTTTTTTTTTTTAGTCAAGAGCTATTTTCTCTAGAAATGAGTTTTTAACAATGAGGCTGCTTCTTTCTGTTGCAGATTTTTTTCTTTAATGCATCAGTCTAGACTGACTCTAGTCCCCTATATTTTACCAAACAGGGACAGTATATACAATGGTTAATTTAAGACTTGGTGCGTGGTATTTGGTTATTGTGATGTCAAATTGAATATAGAAGAGTTGAGGGTTTCTGCTTTTCTCTTCCTTGGCACGTAGTTTGATTCTTTCTCCCTTATCCAGACATGTAAGTTTCAAAAAATGTGTGAAAATCGAGTATCATAGGAGCTTCCGCTCCTCTTCCAAATTTGAATGAAATGCAATTTAGAAGTCATTATGAAGAGACAGGCAGATGAACATGTGAGCAGATAACTGAGTAAAATTTGTTTCTTTCAGAAACCTGGCTATAAATAGAAATCTTCAAGCTTACTGGGATATAGGAAAGAATCATGGGTAGTTGACCATAGAGGAGGTGCACAAATTGTGTAATAAATACAGTCAACCTGTGTGATGAAAGTGTATGTCACTTTAATGTATCACTCTCTCACTCTGTTGAACTTATCTCAATATATCCATTTGAAACAGGGAAATGGTATTCCTCTTTTATTCCTTCTCGACAAGCCTGGCACCAGGAGCTCTGCAGTTTCTTTCAATCACAGTCTTTTAACCAGGTTCAGAATAAAACAAACCACAAAATATATTACTATTTATAATAATATTTATATTTATCGCAATAATAATATTTATATTTATTGCAGTGCTGTAGTAGTAGTGATAAAATAAAATATAGTTCCTAACTTTAGCCATTTCTCAAATAAGGGTAATAGTGTCCTCTTGACTTCATTAAATGAAATAAAAAAGCTTCTGAGAGAATCTGAAATTAATCACACTTAAAATGTTGCCCTACATCTTAACATTTAATGAGACTCTTAAAAAAATCGTTCTTTAATTATATTTCCTAGGAGAATCTCTCTGGCCACACCCCGACAACTTTATAAATCCTCCAACATGACTCAGCGCTGGCAGAGACGGGAGATATCCAACTTTGAATACTTGATGTTCCTCAATACTATAGCAGGTAAGGTTTCTGGCTCTTTAATACCTTGTAATATGTTTATGTTTGTCAAAGTCTTAAGCAATGTGATTTGATAGAATACATTTATCCCTCTAGAATTCAGCTGCAGCTTTGTGATATATTCCGAAACACACACACATTAAATTTTATCACAAAATGCACAACCTATCACAGAGACTTTAGATTCATGTATTGCTGTGAAGGCTGTTCCTTGCTCCCCTTCTGCCATTTCCTCTGCTGACAGCTTTGTCTGAAGCTTTATTAGAGTCAACAAACCATTGCCAGAGAGTGTCTGGAAATAATAATGGGAAAATGTAATTTCGCTACTTCATCATTCTCAGCAACAGCAACTAGACAGCAGAATAACAACAGTATTCTGCCTAGTACAGATGTCACCTGGATTGCAGTATGATTAGATTACAGCATCTTTTCTCATTTAGTTCTTTGAGATGAAATATAATATCAGATTAGGTATTTAAAATGAGAAATAACTGCCATAGACATCCATTTGTTATTGGCAAAAGAAGAGCTTTTCTGGCAATTGTCATTAATTAAACATTTGCAAAGATATTATTCCTTTCACCTTTCCCTTTTCTACGTGTTAACTCTAACGTTAATTTTAAATGTAAAAAGCAGCAGTTTTCTACACGATATACGGAGATTTCCAGGAGGTTGTCTACTGTTATGATTCCTGCCTGTAGCACACATGCTGCTTATGAACCTGCCTGTGGAGAGCCTCATACAGACATTTCACTTCAGTGAGCTTTAATTTGAAAGCCAAATTAAATTCCACCAGGCATCACTTTGTACTCCAGTGTTACAACTCCCATCTTTACTTGGTCCTGACTTTTATGCTCGAGGTTATCCTCAGGCCAGACATAAGACACATGTAAGTGTGAAACCCAAAGGTAGCGCTCGTTATGCTGACCAGTCTGGGGACAGTCACTGCGTTCTTCCCAGTAGGGCAGTGGCAGAATTCAGGAGCTGTCAAACTCACTGGCTTTGAACCCTCAGGCTTTGGCCTCTGTGCTTAGATGGTCGTCATCTTCCGTGCATCTAGTCTTACGGATGTTAATAAATGTGTCATCAACTTATCCCAGTGTGATACAGAAGTGTTAGCACTGAACAGTTGGAAATCTGAGGGCATGTTTACCTTGTGCAGTGGAGCAAAAAGCAGAATCCCTGAAACTCCTGGAGATCTGGGCTGGAAAGTCCATATGGTGAAGTCCAGTGCAGGCTCACCAGCTTGGTTCCCAAGCATTTTAGCTGCGGTCCCGCAGATCTCTGCTGGAGGAAGGAGCCCTGCTGAGCGTTTATTGCCTCTGGTGCAATGCCAGAATGCTGCTATCCGCTTCTGGACACTGGCCTGTCTCCAGCTGCTTCGTGCCTCTCACACATCCGCTGCCCTTCTAGTGGTGAGGAAATGCAGGCGAGCCCTTGCTGGCTCCCTGGCTGCCTCACCTAACTTGAAGGATTTACTGGAGAAGTGGGAAGTTAGCCTGGGTCCCCTCAGTCCTTGTCCAATACATTATAGACAGAACTGTCCTTCACTGGTAAATTCCTTTCTTATGTATTCATTCCTTCTGTAAGCAGTGAATTTAAGGTCTTTAAATGAGAGTACACAAGAGATAAGCCGTTTTTTGAATAAATTATTTTTTTTTATTTTTAATCGGTTTAAAACTCCAAAGTCACTTTGTTTTAGGTACCTCACCGAAGCATCCAAACCTGGAAGCGAGCATTATGTCTGAAGTAATTTAGAAATTGCAGTTACACTTACACAAACATATCAATCAGTTAAAAAGCTTCAGCCTGAACAAATTCCTTCAGAGTATCTCAGACATCTCAAAAAAATATTTTTTGACCTGTTGTTTGATACTAGTACTGCTGGGTAGGCTTTATAGCCAAACACTTGGGGTGATAGCATGAGACAGGATTCTCTTAAGGTCATTTAGTGTCACTCATCTGCCTGGTAATAAGATGGCTTGATATTAGCATTCCAGGTTCCACCTGCTATGGCCAGTGTCTGAAGGATTACTGACTATTTGTTTGGGGTTTTTTTTGGTGTGTGTCCATGAATTTCTGTCCTATTTGAAAAAACTGTTTAGTCACTATCCCTAGGAGTGCCTCTCTCTGACTCAGGACATTTAATTTCTAGCAGATTTATTGGTAAATAATCTTACAGGTAAATATCATTTGTTCGTTTAATCTCATTGGTTAATTGCATAGGATGCCTTGCTCATTCCACTGTGTTTTCTACCATCTCATAAAATCTTTCATCAGTATGTGATTTTTTTAAAAACTTGAATAAAATTTATCCTTGGTAGCTGAACTTGCCAATGACACACACAAAACCTTTTCTGAAAATAACATCAGAGAATGAAAGCTGACTGAAACCCAACAGGCAATTCTACACATGACAATAAACTCTTTATTCCAGTTTGGAACAAAACCCAAAGTTTTCCAACTTTTTGACAAAGCAAAAAATCCCCTCAAGTTATTTTTTGGAAGATCAACCAGGTTTTGTAGTTTCAATGAAGTCTGCACTTAATCTAGAAAGCTCAGTTCCAAAAACTCCTGAAGTACTTGGGGGTATTTGCAAAGAACCACCTCATAAAGTTCCTGGCAAGCCAGAAACCCACCCACAACAGAGTGCACATGAGCTTGAAGTCCAGTCATAGGGGAGAAAGCTTTGAAAAAGAAATATGTTAGAAAGTCTAGAATCTCTCCCATCCCCAAACTGATCCTAGCTCCACTGCTGCATGGCCTTGTACCACCAGGGCATGAGATCTGGGAAACTGCAGCATTGAGAGCTGTGAGGCAGCCTGAGTGACACCACTGATTTTACAGCTGTGCCTGCATTTCTCTAAGTCTTTTTGAAAGGTGTCCTTCAGAAATATTTCCCTTACAACAAATAGGTGTTTTCTGATGGTGCACTAACAAAATTAATAAGTATACCAGAAAAAAAGTAGTGGAAGCAAAGAACCTCTACTAACTTGTTTAGTTAGTTTTGATAACTGCCCAAGTACACCTGTATTAAACAGACACAAAATCTTATATGCACTGAAGACAGGACCCTCAGCAGTCAGAAGAAAATACAGGATTTTTTATTTTGTACACACAAATAGAGTACTGAGTATACTTGTGACCTCCTTTCCTAAGTAAAGATGTATGTTATTTTCTTTCTTCTTGGAAATCCAATTTCCAATTACAGTCCTAATTATACTCTTTTGTAATGAGATTCCATAAGAAATATTTCCTTATAAGTTACAACTTCTTTGCCAGCAATTGTTAGTGTAGCAGCAATGACCTAGTTTTAGAATATAACTGTTTATTTAAGCAGCATCTTATTCTCTAACAGTATTACTGTTTTCATCTATTGGGAAATATATCCATCCTCTTTTTTTTATTTTTTATTTTTAATTCACATTGCCATTAAGCTCCTACATTCAGCAAATCTAAACTGTAGTTTAGTCAGAAACGTGGAAGTTTGACATTTAAGAATTGTGGATTACCTGTTGGTAAATAGGTGATAAGTAAGGTCCTCATCCAAGTAGAGGTCCACTAACAAAAGTGGTTTAGTACATTTTTTGCCTATTCTTTGTAGCTTGCTTTTTTTTTACAATGGTGCTTAATTAGTCTCTAGCCCTCTACAAAAGAGAAAGAAAGCACTCATGTTTTCTTGTGAGCCTCCTCTGAAATTACACAAGAAGCAGTAGTCTTGGAAATGTGATGTTCAGAAGTGTGGGTTTTGGCACCAGCTTATTTGTCTCGTTGTGGCATCATGCAGCTGGGTCCTTCCCCACAAGAAGTCCTCTGCCTGTTTATTAATACTGTTGATTACACAGACTGATTGGCCTCTGTACAATGGAACCACTGAAATAAATACATTAATCTCTTCTTAAATCTCTCCCTGGTTTGCTGGCATGTCTGTCCTGAGAAGCATGACCCCTGGCTGTTCTGCATGTCCTTAATGATTGAAGTATCCTCTTGAAAAAAAATCCATCTTTCTATGATGTTATCTTTAATTCTTACATTGTCTTATTACCCCTTAGAAATATTGCCGTGCTTCATGCCTAGATTAATTGTTCCTACTGTGATCTGTGCTCATGACTTAATAACTTTCTTCTTCGGCTCTCAATGGCCTCTCTTTCTAGATCATTTCCTATCCAATCTCATGTGTGATTGCTGGCACTGACGTTGCCTGATGTCTTATTGCAATATCAATTCAAAATCTCTCTCCATCTTCAAAACTCTCTAAAGCCTGGTTTCAACCTGTTTCTCTGGCCCTCTAGTTGGCTATTTTCTCACCTCCCTCTTCTGTCTCCCAGCTCTTCACCTCTTTCTTGCCCTTCTTTCTGGCTCGAGCATATTTCATCATGTTTACAGCTCTGGGCTTTCCTCCCTAAGGTAAACACTGCACTCTGCTACTTATCAATCAGTCTCAGTGTTATACTCTCCATGCCCCTGGTTTTTGTCCTGGCTGTGTAGACATAAGCCTTCCTGGCTGCCTCCCCCCTCCTCCCTCTACCTGCTTCATTCTTGGGGGTCCTTTTGTTTTAGCTATGATTATACTAATTGTCCTCTCTGCATGGGACCTGCATATAAGTCAGCTGAACCCTCTGGGTGATATAGGAAGCAGGTAATTTTTACTATTCTCACTTAAAACATTATTAAAAAGAGTGCTTAAAAGGAGTCCCACTACAGCAAAAGTATTGAGGATTTGGAACAAGAAATTGTTTTTTAATATCATTGCAGTGCTCACTGTTTTAGCTAAAAGTTTAGATTTCAAATCTATTTCTCAGTATTTAAATAATTTCTGCTGTTTGATTTCAAACTGCAGTATATTAAATGTGTGCTTGCATTTGTATTTATTGCAGTTTTAATTCTTTTAAATCCTACATGCCACTGCTTTTAAAAGAAATTAAGAATAATTGCATCCATAATTTTTGTGAGTAATTTCTTCTAGTGGAAAGGGATTATTTTTAAAGGTTTATGGAAAAAAATGACATCCTCAATTAGGTAGTAAATTCAGATGAACTTCTTCCCCCTCACCGATTTTTTTTTTTGCCTGTTTAGCATTTTCCACTTTTTTACTCTGTGATGTACAAGCCCTCACTGGTTAATTATGTATATATTTAGCTACTGCATGTGTTGGGCTTATTATTGTCATCTAATTAGATGTAACTCGAACTACTTACTTCTAGAAAAATCATTAAAAATTCTTTCCTAATGACCTAGAGATGACAAAATGTCTGTAAAGTGTGAAGAAGCAGACAAGCACAGGAACATCGCTCTTAAAGAGTGTTAATCCAGATGCTGCAATCATCTAATTAAACAATATTTTGCTGTCATTAACATTTTCACCAAGGAATTGCAGTTATAATTTCTTTGTCAGCTGTCTCTAGCTCACTTTACCTTAGAAACTAAAGTGCCATATAAAAACATTAAATTGGATGGTTTAATTAAAAAGTTTTGGGTTTTTTTTTTTTTTAATGAAGAAACATATCCAATATTTCTGAGATCTCATTTACTATGCCTCATTTTTATTGTTCAAGTAGATTAGTGTCACAGGGCTTGCCATATTTAATATTCAGCCTTTAATATTAATCTCTGTAAGCCTACTTGAGGGGAAATCTGAAGGTTCTGAAAAGGTATAGGGACTACCAACAGTCATGCAGGTTTATGTTCTATATTTATTTAGCTAAAGAAAGGACCAAATAATTCTTGCTGGAAGCACCAGACAATTGATGAGATGGCTAAGTATATTCATCTGCTGACTTTACTCTGAAAATAATCAATTGTGAAGCCAGAACAGATCAAGACAGCATTTCTAATAAAGTGAAACCACTAATATTTATGCATGTTTAGAATTAGGGATTTGTAATCCCATTATAGGCCTAGATCACTGTCCTCTGCTCAGATAAGTACAGATGTGTGGTCTTACCTCATAGGTTTGGTCTGCTTTCACAATTTAAATTAGGTTCATCTTTTTAAGTCAGTTTTATTTGTTGATACTAAGGAGAAAATTGTTGAATTGAGAAAAATAAATCGCTAACTTTTTTAAAAAACAAATTAAGAACTATTATGTAGTTATTATCTTCATAAATAAAATAGGTTTTATAAAAATCAAAGTAGGAGAGAAGAGAATATTTTGATTTTTCTCACAAGACATATTTACCAAATACGTAATCTTGAAGGATTCATTATTTGCAGCTTAACCTAAGCTGAGAGAGAAGGTGCTTCAATTTATTTCTCATGTGAGTTAAAAAAGTGCACAGAGGAGTTACTGCAGTGTTCTGACATGGAATTAATGTCATGTGATAATTTCTTCATTTGTCTATACTACAAGTAACCCCTCAGCAAAAGAGAACTCATATGCCAGTGAGACTCAGGATTGCTTTTTCTTATACTCTATTCACACAATTGATTTTCCCATATGGAATGGGAACATTCAAGATCTTGTTGACTGAATATTGAAATTAAATCTATATGAAAATAATGAAATAAATATAAAAATCAAATGAAATCACAATATGAAAAAAAATCTCTATTTCAAAATTGAAAGTAATTTTGTATGACCCTACATTTCCTTTCAAAATTTTGAAAAAGGATGTTCTCACTTTTTAAATACTTCTATAAAACGGTTACAATTGAAGATTTTTATTACTATGAGCTCTTCATACAAGTTTTGATTCTGCAGCATCTTCATTCTTACTTAGGCTTTGTAATGGACTACAGTCGAGTCTTAGTCATTCTCTTCCTGGGCCTCAGAGTTCTTTTAGTCTGCTCTTTGCATAAACTAATGTCTCTCTATTGTGGAAGGTTTTGTATGCTCTACTGTTAACTTAATTAAAGATTCTGATGGAAAAACATTTAATGTATGAAGCTGTAGTTTTATAAAGCCCATATTTTAAAGCACCCTTAATTTGATAATCTCAAGAAACTTTACAAGTCATATGCAATTAAACACTTGCCAAAGAGGAAAATAATATTCTGATTTGATGGATGTAGAAAAAGAGGCAGAACTGTCTTCCTTCAAAACATATAGAGTCCCCTCCCAAAAGTCTAAAAGAATAAATATTCTAGCAGAGGATACCTTTCCTTTTCCTCCCTTACAAGGATAAATTCTGGTATACTACTTGATTTAGTTGTTTGATACATTCTTCTGTCCAAGAGTCATTTTGCATTCATTCATTCATTCTTGCTATTATAGAAGAAGTGTTTTTGTTTCTATACATATTTATTTGTGTAAATAGCAGACAGTTCTGGAATTGCTTGTTTGACAAAGTTATGTTTGCACCTTAAATATTTTTTTTGTATTCTTGTGAACATCTATGTTTTCAGAGAGCAAAAGTGAGGATGCACAACTCTTAAGAATATGCACTTCTGTATACAGTGAAACTTTGTGCAAAATAAAAACATGCTTTTTGTTCATCAACTTCTGTTGAAAAAATGAGGTGTTTGTAGAGCAGTGAAAGTTTCACATTTCATTAAAGCAGAACTGATTTTTGTGGAGAATTGCAACTGCTACTCAGAACAAGGAAGCCTGTGTTTTCCTGTGCCGGGTTTTGTACCCCAGGAATCTGTCCAGAATCTGGAAGGAAACAGTTAGTGAGACAGGGCTGTAAATCTCCCTCAGGACTGGGAATTGTTAACCTGGATTATTTCAGTCTGCTAATTATATTATATAAATACACACACACATATATTTATGACCTGATTTTGTTTTTTAAGACTCATGTTGCATATTCAGTGGTTCTCACTACATCAATAGGATGGACAGTTCTGTACTATGAAATTTAATTTGTCTTATCACTGAAATGTTAGATTCTACTAAATACTAGAGAATAAAAAATAGCAACCTTTCCCAAACACACTTTTCTTTCTGATTAATTCATAATTTTTAGTTCACTGAAGTTGCAGATTGTTCTTATGAAATGGTCTGTCTATTTCAAAGATAGTCTAACCATCTAAAGATGGTTTTTGCACATTTGAGCTGCTGGGATGACAGCAGTGTTTCTTTCATGATTGAAGAAAGTGGCCTGGGATAGTCATCTCTGTCTTTTATATAGGAGAACTTTTTTTTCATTTTGATCAATGTGATTAAAAAATGGTGTTACAGCAAACATGACTTTCCTAATTTTGATTCCACAGTTGCTGTGGAAGCTCACCATTTCTTCTGTGAAGAAGTACCATAGGGAATGATGGATTAGAATGGACTATCTAGGACAGACCTAGATTTGCAAACCTCAAATTTATCCCCTTGCTGTTTGAACTCTCATTTTATCTTTGCCAGCTATGATAAGTTCCTAGGAAAGTAGTAGTCTAGTTCTTTTGAATTTCTACATTCATGATATAAAAATATCTTGATGGAAATAAAAAAAGGAAAGTGCTTATGGGGCATTTTAGTTGATCTTAAAAGATATTATTTCAGTTCGTGTGCTGACTTCTGGTTCAAGATAAGTGCATCTAAATGACTGGTTTTTTATGGAAGATTCATACCTGATTCTGTCGAAGTGGTGGGAACTGGGAACATGTGATGCAACAAATGTAACCACTAGATTTTTTTCTAGCTGAACAAGCGGACACTATTTCCTAATTCTTAAAACTTTCCTTTTCAATAGGACGGACATACAATGACCTGAACCAATACCCTGTATTTCCGTGGGTTTTAACAAACTATGAGTCTGAAGAGTTAGATCTGACCCTTCCAGGCAACTTCAGAGATCTTTCAAAGGTATGGTTCATTTTTGTTAAAGAACAGTCAGTCAGCCCTTTTAGAAAGACATTTTGCTTTATGTTTATAGTCTGGTTAAGTAAGGTCTTTATCTTAAACTCATGAAAGTCCGAAATAGACTTCTCTATTTTAGAATTATTTTATACTGAATCTCTACATTATGCTGCTTCCATGTCCCTGACTTATCTGGTTCCAAATCTGCAACTCCTACATACCTTCTGACTAATGGAACAGGAATGCATCAGACCACTTGATCTCACTAATTATGCCTTTTAGTTTATAAAAGCAGATCCTCTGGAAATAAAATGCTCGGACTAATATTTCACTTTATTTTACAGTGACTAGAATAGTAATATAGTATCAGCATCTTCTTTTGATTTAATAGTTAGTAAAGGGTATTTTTTATTTTAGATCCTGGAGTATCTGGTCCTGAATATTATTTGTTGTGATTTTTTCCATCCAACACAACTTGGGCACTTAGTGCTTTATAATAATAAAAAAAAAATCCTAGGTTTTTGGGGGGTTTTTTTGGTTTTTTTGTTTTTTGGCACAATATTGTCATCAATACCCAGCTCTGGTATTCTGGTTGTGCTAACAGACTGCAGAGAAGTCTGTCCTGGCCAAGCATAGCAGAAACATATGGAGGGGCTCTACTTTTGGCCAGCTGAAATAAGGACAAAAAAGAGATCTCAAAATTGTATTGTGAGAAGTATCTTTCCTGGTTGCTATCAGCTAAGGAAGTGTATGCACTGTCTTGCCAGTGAAGGTGGCAAGATAGTGGATGGTCCTGCAACATCCCCAGTGTGAAGTTTCTATTGTCTGGTGTGTCAGCTTTCTGGCATCCTTACCACAGCTCCTCAGCTAAGAGGGGGAAGTTGCTTGTACAAATTGAGTGAGGCTCAAAACCACAGGAAGCTGTCACTCACTGCCTTTAGGAGTGAGGCTGGAGAGGAGAAAATGACCCCCAAGGCCTGTTCTGCAGTCCTGTGCTGCAGACCCTGCATTCCCTTCTGCTGCTGGGCAGACATGAGTGTTTCTGGGGTTTATGGTTTAAGTCTGGATTTTTTTCCTCCTCTCCCTGCAAGCACACATCCTGGGGAGCAATGGAGACATCCTGCCCTGGATATTTGACAGTTTCATCTCTGCTGGAAAGAGTGTGCTTGCAGTACCTCCAGATGTGTTGTAACCATTCCTGGAAGGCTGCTTTTGTAAGACATCCAAACTAATTTGAGTAGGACTTGAATTTATGATAGCAGACAGAGACACCTAAGTTTACACTCTTTTTTTTTTCTTAGACAAATAAAAAAAATAAATAAGCAAATAAACTCAGAATTTACAGTACATTCACAGTATGCCTCAAAAGGAAATAAATTGCTTGATACTTCCGTTAGGTTATGTAAAACTTCTGACCTTTCACAGTATTATAGGTATGTTTCACAAATGTGTTTTTCAGTTCTGTAACACCATTGTAACCTGTGCCAAGAACAATAAAAGAACCACAGACATGACTTAAAAAAAGACCTGTGATCATTTTGCACTGGCTTGTTCCCTAGCATGTATGAAAGTATTGCTGGTTTAGAGTTGTTCAGAAAGATAAACCTTTCATTAAGGTGCTTACACTTTTCAAAATCTCTCAAACTCACTTTCTGTAAGTATTAATAGCACTTCATGTGGTGAAGTGCAACAAGATTAGACAGTGTCTCATGAGTCCTTTGCTAGGTGTTTAGTTTGGTTCAATCCACACTTTTATAGCAATCTACTAAAATCTTTAATTGCTACAGGAAGCGGTGTGATAGCCGAATAGATAGGTTTTCCTCAGGAGTTAGTAAAGACTCATTATGGAATTAGTGCATGTATAGCTTATTAAGTATCACAGTACTGTTGTTAGTGCTCTCCTCAAAAGGAAATGTAAAATCAAGTCCATGGCTATTTATTTTTCATCAAGACTCATGCAATGTGCACCTTTTCTAGCCAATTTGAAAACTTACCAAAAGCTATTGCTGGTTTCCTCTGGAGCAGCTAGAGTTTTGACCACTGAAAAGCCTACACAGAACTAGTCAAGGAAAATGACCTTTCCTTTCTGGCAATGTCTGGGCTCCATTTATCCCATGGATGTATGAGAAAACGCATGTGAAATCTCTAAAGTGTTGTGAAATACCTCAGAATGAAAGGGCTGTAATTGTCAATTTTTTGCAGGGTTCATTATAATAATATCAAATAGATTTCATTTCACCATGTTTTTAAAAGGAAAAATAGGGTAATGATTTTATTTTAAAATGCAGTGGCCAGTTAGTATGGAATACTTGACTTGGGCTGTTAAGTGTTGTGTCCTGTTTCAATTTTTGCATTATCAGTAAAAATCTTAAAAATTTGAATGTCTCTGAGGTATTTCCTTGTCAATTCTGTTTTCATTTTTGATACTGTCCTGTATCTATGAGCCCCTTCTTTTCTTTTCTTGGCGGTAGCCTGGTGCTTAGGAGCAGGAGTTAGTGATTTATTGCTAGCAATATTGAAGGAGGTTGTGCTAGCAAGCCTCAGCCAGACCTCTGGAGCAGACCCACACAGTATCCTATCCTGAGGAGCAACTTCCTTCTGTCAGATCTTGCCCTGCAATGGAGACATGTTCCTGCAGATCTGATGGCAGATCAGGACCTCCAGATAAACTGATGATGGATAAAACCTCCTTTGTCAGTTCCTGACCTTCTGTGTCCCTGTAAATTTTGTCCTTAGTTTCACAAAGCTTCTGTCCTTGATATGTAGCAATTAATAGTCCTCAAACAATCTTTTTAAATTATTTAGAATTTTAACACTATTGCATGTACGGTAAAAGCCAAGAAAAGCGATGAAACTAAAAGAGAGGTCACCTACCATGCTTTGTTTTCTTGGTTTAAAATAGTTTTTGTAGTTAAATGTAGGTGCTAAATCTAGCTTTTAAAAATATTTTGTTTATTCTTGCTCAAAGTTCATACAATACTCCAGTGTAAATTCTGATAATTGACTACACAATTTTTCAATTTTTTTAATCTTTGGCATCTAGGCTTTCTGTATAAAAGCTTTTATCTTTGTGATATCACAACTCCTAAGTGAACATACATATCAAATGCAATTCATGTGGGTTTTGGAGACGAAATTAGAGGTGTTTGTCTTGCTTACAATGTCAGTGATGGAGTAAAACATGCACCTTTGGAATTTAGCCCAAACTTAAATATATACATTCATGCAAAGCCGTCTTGAACATGTAACTTGTCCTTCCATTCCATTTCATTCTGGTTTTATGTGGCACTCCTTATTGGGATATTTTTAGATCCAGATTTCACTTGTTCTCTCATTACAATTATATTTAAATATTAGTTTGAAAATTCTTCTGTCCTTTTCCTTTTAGGTGTTTGGAAATTCTGTTCTCAAAGCTTTTTGGGTTTTTTTTCCTTTTACATATAGTTTTAGATTTAAAACCAGTGTCTGTGGGCATGGAATGTGCCATAGCAGTGGGATATATTGTACCTTTCATGTGATTAGACAGTGTAGGTTCAAGTTTTATTCATTACATATACAAGGTTAAAGGTTATATTTATTGTTTGACAGGATCAAAAGCTAATGAAAGAGGCTGTCATAGATACATAGATTATCTTTTCAGTATCAAACCATCAGGTGATCTGCTTATTTTCTTCTTTGTTGAAATTTCCTTTAGAAGAATACTTAGGATATTAAACATTAGTCCAGGAAACATGCACACAGTCCTCACTATATAGGGATTTTTTGTAAGGTTCAAGACACTTAAAATGTAGCATGGTTTGTTTGTATAAAATTGTATGACTTTTACTCCTAAATTATAGTGAATGCATGGTTTTGACATGCTGCATTGTCCCTGCTCATTAAAGTGTAAACGGGAATTTCTCCTCATTTACTTCCAGTCATACATCCTGTTAAATAAAATGATTTCTTCACCAGGCGAAGTAATACTAATATTGACATGTGTATGAAACATCACACACCCATTCATTGAGTGGAAAAAATTATGTTTTGTTAATATAGAAGGTGTTTGACTGATGGGTGGTGATAAGCATAACCACTTTTCCTTATTACTGTGCCATTTCAAGAAAAGGAAGTGATAAAGCCCCAAGGCTTCTAAATGTAATAATGCAAATGAACACATCCAAGTGTGAATATTTCAAGGTAACCACACTTAATACTTCCAAAAATGTATATGCTGTGGAATGGAGTTTATGGGCTTATTAAGAGCCCTTCACTGGAAAAATGAAATAATTTTTCTGTAAAATTAAAATTCCCTCTTTATCATATGCAACTCTTCCATCAGAAGAAGAACTACACAAAATTAAAGCCACACAATTAAATGTGTTTTTCTTAGATAAAATGTTCATTTACTGAGGGAAACTCTGGTACTATGAATCTGTGAGTGCTCTTATATTTGATATTGTTGATATCTGGTTTTCATATTAGGATGCTGAAGAAAAATTGGTTTACAAATTTGGATGAAATTGAAATTGAATTTTAAGTTTAAAGTCTCATCCAAAGACAACCTATTTATATGTTTTTGTTCAGCGAGTGTTTTTTAATAAAAAAACAAACAGTCAGGAAAAGCTCAGTCAGTTTTCAGCTGGAGACAAATAAAGCCAGATTCAAGATTCCTTTGTACCCAGATACAATTCTGTGCAGTGTGTCACAAAAAACAACAAGAACAAAAACAACCAAAAAACCCCCCCAAAGAAAAACAAACAAAAAAACCCATAAAAAAACCTGCCCCAAAACAACAAAAAATCACCAGATAAGGTAGCTGCCTCATGAATTAGGGTCAAGTTAAGCAGAATATTTCAGTATCTAGATAAATAGGATGCTACATTCTGTTCTGCTGTCATGAGAGAATATAGTTCTAGGAAGATACTTGGCCAAGAAGTAGATATTACATGAACTAATATGTCTGGTAGATGTAAACACTAGATGTAAGTTGTATTGACAATATGTATTGACTTGCTCAAAGGCCAGATATATAAAGAGATTAGCCAGGTAATAAAAAAAATAAATAAAGATGTAGTAGTGTGTTTTTAATGTTAAAGTAAATGCTTGCCTTGTTTTTAAATGGTAAAGAAACATAAAATAAACTGAAGCAGCAGGTTTTAGAACATCAGAAGTGTAGTGGCTGAATAGGCATTGTCATACAGTGGCCCGTTCTGTAGGTTTGGAGTGAAAAATATCTTATGAAAGCATTGTATTTATGTTTTCAAATACAAACCATTATTGCAACCATTTTGCAATAAAAAGACAAATGGTGTGTTTGAAAAAAGCATTTTATAAAACATTATGAAAAGAACTTTTTAAATAATGTTCAGAACAATTTATTTGACTCAAATTCAGTTTCTGCATTTGTTTTATGGTTAAGATATGGACTGAGATTTAGTATATAGATTGAGCTTTGCCTTTGCATTGTTTGGGAAAGTAATTTTAATCTGTGCAAATCTTAGTCAAATGGAAATAATATTATTTTCTTCCATTATGTGAAGTTACAGGGATCGATAAATAAAATTTATCTGTATTTTATAGGCATGATATTAGATTAAAACCAAGGTAGTTGACCTTCTGGGCTGAGAATGGCAGCTATGAAAAGCTATGAAAAGTGACCAAAACTCCATATGTCCTACAGATTTCACAAGAAACAGGAGAAACTACTGTAGAACTTGTCATCTAATAGGACCTGTGCCTCATTGGAGTAAAACTAGGTTAGCTGCTAGTTTGTACAACTGAGATTTAAGGTCTTTACAAAAATATCTTTGTCTCCACTGAAGGATGAACTCATACCATTACTTTAGGTAGCAGCGTTTTCCCACGTGGATGTTAAAATAACACTAAAGAAGCCGAGGCAAACCTCGCAGAACTTACTCCCTGCTATTTTATATATGGAGGTTTTTTTTGCTTTCAGAAAGTGCCTGGTCTTTTGGTATGCAAAGGCTGTTCTATGTATGGTTTCCTGAACCTGGAGACAAGTCCTTTAGATTAATGTGCAGAGAGGTGGTTCATATCAGTGTCTCCATGACTGCACAGAGAAGGGTGATCAGATGTTTCTTGTATTTCTTCACCACAGAGGCCAGAGGTACCTTATGTAAGGCTGAAATAGAGGCTGCAGACTTGTGCAAACTCCCAGCTCTCCTTCCCACGTGGTGCTGCATTGAGACAGTTGCACCATTTCTGGGATCCCAGTTGTCATCTCCACATAAATAAGGCCATGTTTGCACACTGTCCCCTCTAGAGTAGCTCAGAAACTTCCAGCTCACCTTCCTATTGCAAGCTATAGACATACCTAAGCAATCTCCTCATGGTCACTATAAAGGCTTGTGGAATGAGAGAAATTAATCCATGTCTCCCAAATCCCAAGCTGTCAGCCAGATCACTAGTTCATCCAATCCAGGGTCTGTCCTGAGAAGCTGAGATGAGACTTTCTAGCTGAAGACAAGCTCTATTTGCCTTCTTTCCCTTCTTTTTCTCCTTCCTTCCTTCCTTCCTTCCTTCCTTCCTTCCTTCCTTCCTTCCTTCCTTCCTTCCTTCCTTCCTTNCCCGCCCGCCCGCCTTCCCTGTCTCCCTTCCCTGTCTCCCTTCCCTGTCTCCCTTCCCTGTCTCCCTTCCCTCTCCTAATAGTCTTTCCAGAGATTTTCTTATGAAAGTTGCAGTACCATGCAAGAACAGAAATTACTCTCATTAACATTTTACCTAAAGACTCCATTTTATTCAGACAATGTTTTTGTGCATTTCAGGAATTTTCTTCAAATGAATCCTAAATTAATTGAAAGGAAAAAAAATAGATAGTAACTCTGAAAAGAATATTGATGAGGATGAAGGTAATCCAGAATACAGCTTTTCAGGTTTATCATTTAATAGAATTAATCATAAATATTCTGAAGGTAGATTATTTTAGCTATTTGTGCAGTCATTTTTATATGAAAAGGGGTCATTATTCCTTTTATCTTTTAAATTGAAGTAACAGCTCTCATTGAACAACCTAGAAAACATGATGGCATATTTGCATTAGTATTTTATGTGACTTTAAAAATTATTGTCAAATTCTTGAGCGAAACAACCTTTTTATTAAATACAACTATATATATTATATTAAAAATTGTATTTAAAGGTACTGATTAAATCATCATTAAAATTTTGCCAGTTTATAAAATAAAATACCTCGTAATTATTTTGAGCATCAGTTATACCTCACAGGCCTTGTTACTGTAGTCAATTTACAGTGAATAATGAAAACACATTGCTTATTTGATGAAAGACTTCTAATCAGCATCAACTGTGTTTTGAAAGGCCAGGAGTTTTACATATTTTCAATCTTGCATTAATCACCATATTCATTCTCCACTGTGCCTTCAAACCTATATGTACAATAATATGGTGACAGATGACATCTCTGTCTTCCATAGCCTCAGAACTCACAGCAGCATAGGATAACATGCACCTTCGTAGTGGAGGGAAGAGGTATTCTCAGGGTGTTTCTTCATTACAAATACAATCTCACCAATTTGTCTGTTATTTTGTGTTCCCTTCTCAGAAGGGGTGAACATTTCATTTTAACACACTACAGTGTGAATTACTGCTTTAGCTCTTCAAATGTTCAGTTGGGACTGGAATTTTTTCTGCCAGAGAAGTGGATGCACAGTACCTTAATGAGGGTGGTGTCAGCAGGTTCCATCCGGTCCCCAAAGCAACCCAGAGCCTGGTACAATTTAGCAAAGAGCACATATATCTGCACAGTTTGTCAATCCAATGGGAAAAGAATGTCTCTTTCAAGGAAACTGTTGAACAACCATTTCTATATAATGATAACTTAAAGTCTATAATACTGCCAGCGTGTTTCCTGACACTGGCAGGATGTGTAACGAAACCAAGTATAACAAAAATGCAAATATTTATTTTTTCCTATTGCCAGTATTTGGGAAACGAACCTGGAAAGTGTTAGGGAATGGCTCATACTTCTCTTTCAAGAATGTTTTGTGAGGTCTTTCAGTGCAGTCTGCACCAGATAACACTGATCCTTTGGGATTACTCAATCATTTTACACGTATGAGAAAACTATTAGCATCTTCATGACACAGCAAAGTATTAAGCATCCACAGTGCTTAATGTGAAAAATATTGAAATCATAATGTTTTAAAATGTAAGTGTTCACCAAAGACTGGTATTTAAAAACAAGCTCTAAATCAGAAAATATCATGTTCTTTGTCAGCCTTTTAAGCAGCCATCTCAAAAAGCATAGCAGCGCTGAAAGAATAAATAACTTGCAGCTTTAAAATTTTTTAGTTACATTTAGTTACATATTTAGTTACAGTTACTAGTGCAGTGAAACACAGAGATTTGACCTTGTACTGGTATTTCCTTTCTGAATTACTTTGGACTTTAATTCAGTAGAAAAATTGTGCAGTGAAATAAAATGTAAAAATACTGTTAGCATTTTGAAAAGGGTCAAAGATCTTGGTTTTACCTTTTTTTTTCCTCATACCCTTAATAATATAACTTCTAATTAAAATTTGATTAATGCAAATCAAGTAATAATTTCAAACTACAATAAGTTTATACAATTATTTGGTGTGGAAGGGTGCTCTCCTCTAACTATTGAACTCCATGTGTTTGGTTAATTTTACAATAAAAGCTAAAATCTGTATTTTCTTTGTCCCTGTAACTTTTGTATCACACAGTGACTAATATATTTTGCAAAATCTTCTGAGATAAAGTGGGTTAAAAAATCATAAAAAAGGTTGTATTCCTCAAGTAGCCACATCAAAACAAATCATTCCTACTACTGCCTTACATCTCTTTTGTTTTTCACCTAATTTGTCCTTTAAGTTTGCTTAGAAGGGACTTAAAATTTTTGATTAATTTCCACATTCTATTGTTTTCAAGTACAAAGCTTGTTTGCTTTGTTCAGTTTCAGTAAAATGTGGCTTTGTTCAGTCAGAAAGTACACCCAGTCCTGAGGACTATGCATGTTTTTTAAGTATTTCTGCTTAGGATCACCGGACACCATCAGCAGTTCCGCGTGAAATCTTTTCATCATGAACTGCGCATTACGAAGTATCCTGTGTGAGCAAAAGTCAGTTTTCATTAACTGTGTGATTATGGTGAATGACAGCAACAGAAATATTAGTTTGGCCTCAATGCATTTTGAATGCAATTTTAGAAGTCTATTTCCAGAAGAATGTTACTGAACTAATTGGGAAACAACTTCTACTTCAAGAAGGTCTTGAAAGTTTGCAGATGTGGATCACTTATATTTGTCAGTTAAAATAAGGAAACTCGTAAGACTTTCAGTACACAAAGCCTTTGAAAATAGACTCTAAGCTTACAGCTATCTCAGGGGTTACTACAGTGTGGGATGTGTTTGGTTGCAGAGTCCCCTGTGCAGTGAATCTTAGTGCAGAATTAACCTATGCCATATCAGACATGCTGCCCTTTGGCTGATAATATTTTTGACCTCTTACCACTTCACAGCCTATTGGTGCTTTGAACCCAAAGAGAGCTGTCTTCTATGCAGAACGATATGAGACATGGGAAGATGATCAGACTCCACCTTATCATTACAACACCCACTACTCTACATCTACTTCTACCTTGGCTTGGCTTGTTCGTATTGTAAGTATCTCTGGATCCTGGTTTTCATGAATATCTTTATTTACAACACCTCTTCTGTCACTTCCCACTGTTTTGTTTTGTTTTTATGAAAGCACCTTTGTATTAAAATCTCATTGTTCTTCCCTACCTTAAAATCTCAGAAATTCCCCAGTATATACTTTATATACTCTTTTGTAGTGATCAGGGGGTCCTTCCTACCCAAACAATCCAAAATAAAATTAAACATAAAATTGTGGTGGTATCAGGATGTACACAATGAGAAAAATACATCTAAAACTCTTTCCACCCCCCAAAAAATATCTCTAGTTAATACAGAAATCTGATACTGTTCATATTCATTTCTTTTCAGCTAGGGACAGATCCATGCAACATTAAAAAAAACAAAGCTTTTTTGTAAGAACATTAGACTGTCACATCGAGAGGGGAATTATATAACCAGTTTTATATTAAAGCATCATAGAGTAATGCTTTATGCAAATAAACTATGCTTCTAAATTAATGAATATCTCTACAGATTTCAGAAATGTGAAATGTGGATTCTAACTTCAAACTGTTATGTCAGTTCTGGAAACCTCATGTTCCTATGACCAAAACCAGATCTAGGGAAGGGGACCAAACTTCAAAGATAGAATGAATCTGAATTCAATGTATGTGTTATCACAATTACTTACAGAATAAAGAGCATTGATGAAACACTGAAGGTTTCACAGAGAAATCTGAATTAATGAAAAATTGAGTGACCGTGTAATTACTTAAATTAAAGTATACCCTGCCAATAAAAATCTGTTGTATATGGTGTACTCTAAAAACGTTTTGCATACAACAAAGCAAAACAGAGCCACACAAAGCTTAATAATTGAGTTTTTGCTTATCTCAGCTTCCCTTAGACATGTTCATTTTTTTTCTGCTCAGAAGAAACTTGTGTCTGTGAGTCCAGGGTATACTTTTTAAACCATGGGAAACTGTGTTGATTACACTCCTGTATTGGGTGACCACTGTATTTCTTTTAAGTATTGCTAATTTATTAATCTACTGAATACATTTTATGGTACACATGTGCTTCTTTGTTGCCCTAAAGTAGATTAAAAACAGTAGTTTTATTTGCATGTTTATCTATTAACTTTGGCTGCTGTACAGCAAAAGATCCCATCTTGCTAGTCAGCAAATTCTCAGAGCTGGAAGTCTGGTTACAGGATGAACGTACAACACACCAAGGAGTATTCATTTCCTGTATTAGGCTTAAGCAATGTCATTTTTGCTACTGTTGTTTATGTATTACTATAGGTGTTCTTGCTCTCTTTGTGTTCTCACCTAAAAGAGCAAGAGAACAAGGTCTTTGTCTTGATGGCCTTGCAATACAGACCTTAGAAATTACTTTTGTTAGAGGAAACAGTGTATCTGAGAATAGAAAGCAGAAGTGGAAACCACTGATATCCAAATAAGAGGTTGCCAATGAAAAGGTGAAAACAACAGATAGCTTAAATGCAGGGACACTCCTATGCAGGTATTTTAAAAACTATTTAAATATGATTGACCAGCAAAGAAAAGCAATCTCTAATGGGAGTGGACAACAGAAGTGAAAGAAGACAAATCCAGGGAAAGTTTAAACCTCAGAAAAGGAAGAAAAGATAATATGATAAGACTGGATAAGGCAGCAAATGGAAAACTTAAATAGATATTTGAAAATAAGTGTGTATAGAGGAAAAGATAATGGCAATGAAGATTATGAAGTCATAGTGATCTACAGAGAGATATTCTTATTACAAAATAAAGGATGAAATATCCTAAGGGAGAAGATTGTGCCAGTGAAATTGGTAAGACTAGGTCAGATTTCTCTAAGTTCAAGTAGTATTTCTTGCTCGTGAATTTCTTGAGCTTGAGCTTTGATATGAGTTTGTGAAGAAGACTCTGTAAGAAAAGGTAAATTACAGTCTAGTCCAGAAAAAGCAAGGTGACATTAAGAGATGCAGAGATTCAGACAGAAAAATACTTTCAGTATTTTGAAAGACTGGAGAACAGTGATGGGAAAAGATGTGTTACTGCAGAGCTTTTGATAGAAAGTGACACAGAGAGTGAAGGACAGTAGTACAAATTAAAACCATGTGTAAACCAAAGAAAAAGAAAAAAGGAAAAGCAAAAGAAAAAGCAAAAAGCAAGGAAACAAATGAAAAATCTATGACAAAAAGTAAATTGAAAATGAGAGTTTAGATAGAATCAGAACAAAACAGTATTTAGTAATAGGGATCCAAGGGGAGAAGCTGCCTGCCTAGACCTTAGTATTGGAGGACACAGTATTTGCTGTAGCTAAGGAAGTTTCAGCCACTCTGAAGCATAGATATATAGAGAGAATTGCATAATTGCCACAAAACCTTAAAAATTATTTTAAGCCTTCCTTTTCAGCTTTGACAGATGCAATCTGGTTTCTGTCAGTTGTCTTCAAAACATTGCTTTTAATATCATATTTTTCAGTCAATTCTGTGATAATCTGTTCCCTACTGCCTTATATTTCCCTCAGTTGCTTTCCCTTATCTGATGTATTGTGGTGGGTTGGCTCTGCCTAGATGTCAGGTACCCACCAAAACTGCTCTACTACTCCCTTCTTCAGCTGGGAAGGAGAGAGAAAGAATAAGGAAAGACTCATGGATTGAGATAAGGGTAGGGAGAGATCCCTTACCAATTACTGACAAAGGCAGAACAGATTCAGCTTGGGGAAATTAGTTTTAATTATTACCAGTCAAATTAGTAGGATAATGAGAAAATAAAGTAAAATCTTAAAACCACCTTCCTCCCAACCCCTCCCTTCTTCTCTGGACTTAAGTCCTAAATTCTCTCTCCTCTTCCCACCAACATGGGGGAATGGGAAATGGGGACTGTGCTCAGTTTATCACATGTCTCTGCCACTCCTTTCTTCTCTGAGGACTCCACACTCTTCCCCTGCTCCAGTGTGGGGTCTGTTCCATGGGAGACAGTCCTCCATGAACTTCCCTAAAATGAGTCCTTCCCACTCATGGAAGGACTCCAGTGTGGAGTGGGTCCCTCCCATAGGGTGCAGTCCCTCAGGAGCAGACTGCAACAGTGGGTCCCCTGTGGGTTTACAAGTCCTGCCAACAAATCTGCTCCCACACGGGCTCCACTCTCCAGGGAAGCACTGGTCCCTGCCAGGAGCTTACTCCAGCACAGGCTTCCCAATGGGGCTCATGGCCTTCCTCAGGCACCCATCTGCTGTGGCATGGATTCCTCCAGGGGCCACAGGTAGAGCTTTACTCCTGTCTGGACCTCCATGTCTGTAGGGGTGCAGCTGTCTCACCATGGTCTGCAGCATGGGCTGGAGGGGAATCTCCACTCCAGAGCCTGGAAGACAGAAACCTCCTGGCCCTCCTCCTGCACTGACTTTGTTATCTGCAGAGCTGTTCCTCTCACATTCTCATTCCTCTCTCTCTCTTTAGTGTACTGTAGTTTTTCCCTGGCCCTTCTTAAGCCTGTTATCATAAAGGCACTTTGTTATAGCTGACAGGCTTAGCCTTGGTCAGCAGCAGGTCCATCCTGGAGCCAGCTCATGTTGGCATTGTTGGATATAGTGAAAGCTTCTCACAGAAGCCACCCTTGTAGCCTCCTCCACTACCAAAATTTTGCCACACAAACCCAACACGTGTATCAGGCTGGGTTTTTTAAAACACAATGAATGTCTTAGCCCCAGTTCTGTCCTGTGTTTTGATATTGAATATTGAATTTGGATATCTCTCCCTTTGTTTCACTATTAATACATATTCTGCTGTGTGTATTTCTGTGTAAATGAAATTGGATATTCATAGTTTGTCACTAGGTGACTTGACCTCCAGAAGATTCATTTTCTTATGTGCATTTCATCTGGAGCTGTGAATATTTAAGTTGCAGAAGACAGAATAGATAGAACCAAGAATGCCACTTCAGAATGCCATAGAGTACAGTGACTTGACCTGAAAAGTAATCAGAAGGAAAAAGAAAAATGAATGAATTCTGGCTTGAATCAAGTAGAATGTGAATATCATCATTGGTTTTGGATTTTTAGAAGAAATAGGATAGAGTTATGGTACAACTGAATGTTCTCAATAATTGCTACTGAAGAAGTTATATTTGTGTAAATCAATTGCATCTTCATGGAAACAGAGACCAGTACTTGTGGTATTCAAGATGTTCATAGAGAATAATTGTCTTCCAGTTGCTGTTGCAATGACTGTATATTTGTACAAGGTAGAAGAAGTTCTGGCTTTATTATGAGCTAGATTGGATTGAGTTAAAACCAGTTTTTAGTGAGATTCAAAGGTGAGGAGGACTGGATGTCATCCAGTAAACAGAAGTGATTTGGGTCTTCTTTTTGTTAGATTTGAGAAAGACAGTCACAGATGTATCAGGCAAAAGGTGTGTCTCACTCTGACAAACCCTTACATACTGTCTCTCCCTCCTCTTACAAATGGCTGGAAAGACACTTTTGTTTGACATAGGATGTCTTAGAATGACCACATCCCTTCCTTCTCCCTCTTCTACCCCCACCATAAATGATTCAAATGAGTCTGGGTACTGCTAAAAGGGAAGTGGGGGGAGAAAAGTACTATTGAATGGAAAAATTTGTTGTTCTCACAGCTCAAGCTTGTGTTCAGTGTAATCAAGTCCCCCACGAATTTCTCTCCTTGTTGGCAGTGAACAAGGCGTGAATTTTATTCAGAATATTAGGAGCGAGTGAGATGGAGTTATAATGAAAACATTGTGCTGCTTTTTAGCTTTCACAGCAACAAAACCTTTACATGAAATGACAGTAATCGGTATCATAGAATAACAGTATTTAAATGAGTATATTGAATACAGATATGAATTATATTTATATAATATAAGCACTTGACTTCCTGGAGAATAAAAATTACCTTAAAATTATGTTAGAGGTCTGAGATAAAGCAAGTGAAAGCTCTGAATTTCTGCTAAGGATTAAGAATCCAAAAAGATAGGCACAACAGGCCTATGCAGAATAGCATAATAGGGCACCCTGTAGTGCTCAGCTACTAAAAGTTTAATCCTTGATTATGAATTTTATTGCTTTTGTGTATTTGTCTCAGATGCCTAAAATAATGTTGTCAAGGAAGTTTGGATTAATATTTTTACATAATTTATTTTAATTACATCATTTTTATGATTTCTGCTTCTTTTAAATCCATCCACTGCTTCTGATTCCAGAACCTCTGCAATGATCCACAGTCTGCTCCACAATAATATTCACAAAAATCACACATATCTAATAAAGAAAAAAGGAACGGTAGGAGTTGTTTGCAGACAATTATTTCTGCTCAGATCAAGAATGTTTTTGAGTCAGGGCAAGCTAGAATACAGCATCATTACTATTGAAAACATATACAAATAATTGGGAGAAGAAATAAATTTAAAAGCAAAATAATTCTAATATTTTAAAAATGTAAATTTAATAATAATTAAATTAAATAATGTAAATTAAATAATAATAATTCTGTTAACAATATTAACAGAATTTTAGGACAAATTAATATAATCCTATTTCTGTATATGCCATTTTCCATTTTCTAGTTTTGTGTCTGAATCTTACACATTTTCAATGATATTTTACATTAATTTCACTATAAGGAGCACTGGAAAATCTGGATAAATAAAAGCTTATTTTCTTTCAATATTTCAGTTAATTGTGGTAGTTCATATTACTCACCCAGTTGAGCTACTGTTAAATTTTAATATTCTATTTAAATTATAAATCTCTTCCTCACCACACAGCCTTTCAATATTCAGAAATGCAAATAAAGCCATTGTGCAATGAGATTTAGGGTCCTCCAACAAAAAATTATATTGTCATGATTTTGTATTTAATTTGATTATTTTAATTAATTATTTAACAGATATTAGGATTCTCTGATTGGAATAAATGCATGGATGGAAGTATATTTATGAGATACTATTCTTTTGAATGTGTCTATTAAAAACAAATTCCCCATGTTTTAAGAGGAGAAAATTTGGTTAGAGTTTTTTCTTCTTTGAAAGGAAACTAGCCTGTGTTGACTGCTGTGCATGATAGAAAAAATTAATTGGGAAGACATGTGGAATAATGGTAGAGAAACAATGGTCTCTGGAAGCCAGAATTCCATCTTTTATTTTCCTCTTTTTTTTGGATATTTTCACTGTTTTTGCATCTGTGCTTTCCTTATGTGTATTGTAATTTCTCTTAAGGACTATGCAAACATGAATTTTTTCATATGTTTTTCATCTGGGGCAATTTACAAACAATATGTATAATGTGGCATAATTCCTTAAAAAATTTTTTATTAATGGAGGAGTTCCCTGACTTGTTCAAAAATTTCATAGAAGGAAACAGAGAATATTTAGAATAAAATTCAAATAACAGATGAGTAATAGTGTATTAACAATTGTGGTCTGGTGATCTTGAACCGCTTTGATTAACAACATTTCCAAATGATCGGGATATGCAATGAAATAAGTTTGGGTATGAATTTAATGAAAGGGACTTTCTTAAAAATATTCCCCATGAGACTCTGGCAAAGAGGAAGGAGCAACTTTCATCCCTGTAGGCACACTGCCAACTATTAGTTAAATAAGAGAGCTAATGGGGTAGTGGTGGAAATCCAGGTTTCTGCCAGTGATCTCAGTATTCAGGTTCTGCTGTCAAATTAAGGATTTGGTCCACTATTAACCCCTTCCCTGCAATTGAATGTGGTGACATCAAAATGGGTTATTCAGACTGTCTAATACCTTAGCTCGTACTCCCCAAAAGCTGATAGCTATTTCCATTTAGTAAGAACTGGGATGTGGTTTCAGATAGAATTAGCAAAAGTAAAGACTCTAAATATTTCACCTCTGTACCTCTGCCTCAAAATAATGATAAAATTGGAAGCATAGTCTATAACAAGCATAGAGCCATTCTTCTCACCTTGAGGCAACATGGAACCTACTGAGCTCCTTCCAATTAAATGAAAACACAAGAAAGATTTAGAGATAGGATTTTTTTAAAGATTTTGACATACCACCATGCAAGGAGTAAGCAAAGCCCAGTTATATAAATAACACAGAGTGTGTTTATGGTGTTTGCAGTGAAAGAGGCAGTCATTGTGAACTGGAACTAAGCTACATATGTCTGCCACTGATGGGTGATTAGTCTTATGGTATAGAACTCAGGATCTGTTTGTGCAAAATGTGTTAGTGCCAATAAATATACTCAGATATTCAGTGCAGAAACCAGTGCAAATTCAGTGCATATTCATGCAGTGCATGAATACATATAACTATGAAATGACATGTTTTTCTATAATGTTGCTTTTATGATATATTTTGACCTGCAAAAGGCTTTTGGATTTTGACAGAAACCTGCTGCACGAGTCCTTGTACTGTTTTCTTAATCTGTCATAATTTCATTAACTACAGGAGCCCTTTACAACATTCTTTCTAAATGCAAATGATGGCAAGTTTGACCACCCAGATCGAACCTTCTCTTCAGTGGCCAGGTCCTGGAGGAACAGCCAAAGAGATACCTCAGATGTGAAGGTAATATATATATATATACTAAATAAATGGATAAATATGCAATTCCATTGTGGTATTTTGTTTATGTAAACATAAAGAAGGTGCTGTATTATATTTTATATTTATATGTATCTCATTTCTTTATATTCAGCACACTAGATATAGTGTAAATAAATGGATGTTAATAAAGTTTATTGTTCTAACAAAAACAATCAAAGATTCTTTGAAGTTGAGTGGACAAAAGGTGTTTTGTTTTTTTTTAAGAGAAAAACAACCTAACTGATCTAATTTAGATCAGATAATCAGGAGATGGAGAAAAGCTCAATAAATTGTTCTTTCCTGCTGTTAACTCAATATTTGGCCCACTCCATAAAACACAGCAGGAATTGGATTTGACCTTAAAGTGTCATATTGTTATAGCTTGCCTAGCTCTGGGTTTGCATTGCCTGGGGCAATTAATAAAGCATTAATGACAAGACCCATTTAAAATGTTGGCTTTTCTGTACCGCTTTAGCTTTTACTTGAATGTGCCTGGGGATATTATGCAACAATACACATTAGATTAAAACAACTTCTACACTATATACAGAAACAGCCAGAAAGCAGGGTGATTTTACTGCTGTTATTCCTTACCTTTGTATTTACCTTGTTAAATACAAAGGGTTATTGTTCATAGACATGGAACCTTATCAGAAGGAAACAAAAATCTAGAAATATTTTGAATAATATGGTCCCTTATTGATTCTTATTTTCTAGTAATAAAGTAGGTAAAGGCTTCACTATAAAAATTTCTCCTTTTTTTAAAAAAACCCTCTTTTTTATAGTGAATATGTTTCTCTTCTATATATATCCTACCAATTATACTAGGAAATGATAAATTGAAGGTCATATTGCCATTATATTTTCTTACTTGTCTTGGCAAAGAAAAAAAATTAAAAAATATGTAGATTTGTTGATTTGTTTTTATTCCAGGGCTCCTGTTTACATAAGTATTCCAGCAGTCTCAGAAGAGACAAATCATGTTGTTATTCAGTTACCAATTAGAACAGCTAACTGCAAATTGTATGGGCATCCTAACATGTGGGAGAAAACGCTTTTTAAAGAAATCAACTTGAACCTCCTACAAACTATTTTATGTTTACTCATGCTCCTCTGGAAGTCAGTGGGTTTTTAAGTAGCATCACTCTTACCCTTGTAAGAAAAACAGAGGAAATTTCCATATTAGGAAGTATTTTGAGGTAATATCTACTATATTTGATATATCTTGAAAGTGCTGACATTTTTGATTTTTTTTACTTTTCAATGAAATCTAGTTTTTCTGAAATTCTACTAGAATATCTGGGAAAGTGACTTCCAAGGAGTGGGGCTCAAACAAAGGATAAGAGCCTTAAACTGAGAAATAAGGGAAGACAGTTGGAAGTGACTGTAATCTTCTTGTCTGGCTTTAGTACACAGGAGGAGGGCAGTTAAATACATCAAGGCATTGCAAAAGATAAAGGAATATCTGTGGACAGACGGAGAGATGGTATTCAAGTGGGGTATATAATTTATGAAAGGATTGTGACCAAATGAGTTATCAGTAAAACAATTAACTGAAATGTTTGTCTGAAAATACCAGGAGTCTTGTGAACCAAGTGGAATAATTTAAACTGCTGCTGCCAACCATTGCAAGGATGAAGGAATTAAGGATGGGTAACAGCTGCAAAATGTATTTGTATTAAAAACCCCTAAGTTATCCAAATAAAAAAAATATTAAAAAGATGCTCAGAACCAGATACCTTCAGAGAAGGAAGGCAAAAGGTGAAGAAATGAAGTAGCTATATTTAATGCTACTGAATGTAAAGAAGGGAATTGGGGATAGCAGGTAAAATAGTAAAAATTAAGGGTCTAAATTGCTTTAGGGGAAAGACTGTAAAACAATGTGTTCCAGAATACATTTGGCAGTATACTATAGAACCCCCAAATCAGATTTATACATATGTACAAATTTCTGTTATGCCATTAGAAAGAGAAAAACTACTTAAGAGATAAGTCATTACAGAAAATCTAATATGGGAGTAACAGATGAGGTATGTTAGCCAATAAATGTTTTCTCCAGATAATCCCTGACCTGTCTGTTCAGGGATACATTAGGGATTAAAGATGCTGTTTAAAATAGGGCTTTGTTAATTAATGAAGATACAGGGAAGGTAGGTTTAGAAAATAACATTGAATTGATTTATTTTGAATTGATTCAGCTTAAGATGAAAATAGATGAATAAAAGCAGATTCAAAAACGAGCTGAATTTTTAAGAGATGCTGAAACAAATAGAAAGCGTTCATAAATTATCTAAAAATATTCTATAGAAATTATGGGAGATTTAATACGAGCTTTTGATCTATTGCACCACCAAAATAATTTATTGTATATTAATACAAAGACAGCACTGGAATAAATCTACTGAGGTACACTTCAATAGCCTAAGCAAAATATGTCAGTGCATGTCTATTTTGTCTTCAGTTTAAGAAGGAAACTGTAAGATCAACAGGACGGTGCAAAGCTTATCATGATACCAAAGGTGTATCCTTAGGTTATAATGACTAGACTATCTCATGGAATCTAATTTCCACCTGAAACAGTCAGATTCATCATTCATTCTGAGCATTATGTTCTCAGAGAGCATATGTTTGGGGTTTTTTTTTTCTTTTTCTTGTCCAGTTTTTAGTATGAATTTTTGCTGGATAAAGCAAATGCTTAGCTCTTTCTTTGCTGGAAACCATCAAGTGTAAGATCTACCTAAACTGGAGTTAGCCATAAGAACAAAAAATGTGTTTTAGGAGTTGGATCCAGGTAGAAAAATGTGTGTATGTATGGGGGAATTAATGTCTGAAGTGGAAACACATAAATGCTATGAATTATGCAAACATGTGAAAGGAAGAATTATGTGTCAAGGAACAAAGAGGTAAACCTCAGAGGAAAGGGATCAGAGTGGAAAAATGCTTAAGAAAAAGAAAATGAAAAGTTAGGGTGAAGTTGAGTATTCTTTGAGTTTGAACATTCTCACAAAGGGAAGTAGTAAACTCCTTATTTGTAAAACTTCTTTTTCAAAGTAGACTGGCAAAGTACTGGCAAGGCCCTTTGATTTGCAGAGTCTGTTTCTTAGTGATCAATCAAGAATGAGTATAGCAGCTAATTGTTGCTGTTGTTTGCTGCTTAAGATCTTAATGAACTTCATTTCTCAATGACATTACATCAGGGCCAACTTTTCCCTGAGGCTTTGAAGTTCATTCTGCAAAATGATAGAGAAATTAACTATTATTAATACTACAAATACCTATTTTTTTCAGATTAGTTTTGCTACTGCTTAGAATGCCTTGCAGGCTTTTCAAACACTTTAATCAAGTTTTCCAGAACTTGAAAAGCAGTGAGGTTTGGGGAACTACTAAGAAGCCCCCTCAAAATTTCTGCCCATTTTTGTCACTCTTGGAAGAGCAGCATCCACTGTCTAGCACAACAGAAAAGCTTCAGCTCAGAGTGTGTGTGAATCATTCAAAAACTGGTGGTCAGCTAGTGGCAACTTCTAGTATTTATCCAGCAGTCCTGTTAGAAAGCAGAGATTGTGCAATGGAGAAGATAGGTTGTGTGTGAGCACCGAATCTGAAGGCATGCTCTCAAAGTTTTCTGTATACTTGTGTAGCTTCTTCTGACTCGAGGGGAAGGGCTTGGCAGTGTGGATTTGCTTGTGATATAAGTGCTGTAAATTCTTTTCCTATCCTAAAGATTTTTTGAGTCTTTATAGTAAATATTTATTGCATGGAATACAGGCCATCCATCAAAGTAGCAGACTTTGAAACTGTTAAGACTAGCAAGTGTTCATTATTCATGTATTCCTTATCATATATTTGAAATTAATCTGAGCTGCTTTAAGTACCTTTATCTCTGATCTTACTAATCTCATTAATTATTGTGGCACAGGTTATGAAATAATTTTAAAACAGCGTGTGCAATGAATTAATCTAACATTCTTCATTGCTGTGTGTTGTAAGATGGCCACAATTTTTGCTCTCAAGTACTGTATTAAATAATGATATAAATTGTATTTATTCTTTATTAACAAGGTCTAATTTTAAATCTATATTTTTTTAGGAAAGTGAAATGTAGAAGGTTTTTACATCAGTTGCTCTTTAAGAAGAGGACTTTAGGTACATTATTTTCAAGGGCTTCTGTAAGTGCTGAAGTAGGTCAATTTTAACTAATGAACTGAGGTTGTTAAGTGCTGCAGACACTTTCCACAGCTACTCTTTTACAGCCTCAATTTGTCTAAAAAAATACATCCAAACTACTTTCACAGAATTCTGCATTAAAATTTAGAAACCAAATATCTGAAATTTTCAAAAGAATGTGTATCTCTTTAGGAAGCTACATTTCTGCAGGTCCAGCTCCTTTCCTGCCATGCTTGTGTCCTCCCTGACATTCCCTCTCTGTTTCTCCCTTTCTTTTCCCTCCTTCCCTCTCCCCTTTGAATATGTTCTCTTCTGGAATTATTTTACACTGAACTAATAAATATAGGGCTGTGGCAGCAGTTTGATCAGCCTGAAAACAAGCTGTAATTCTGGCATCTCAAATTGTGACAAAAAGTAGACCACCTTTGAAAAATGTAGTGTACAATAGATTATTGCTCAACAAAGGATAAAAGATTTAGTTAGACCATTTTGTCCCTTACTCTCAGCTTGTTTTGGTTCATTTTCAAGAAACTCATTCACCTACAGTGGAAGAAACAGAATTAATACAGTATGTGCTGTGTTAGAGTGGAAACACACAAGGGAGAACCTGGATAACACAGTTTATTTTATTGTGTCTCCCTTTATCAACATCGACCTTCTCTCGAGATAATCAGTACAAGCTGGAGGAAGAATGAACGTTCGCGGGCTGACCTTTGAGGAAGCAAGTCACCCGGAAATGACCATAACTTGGCCAGTCAGCTTGCACATTTTTTCCTTTCTAAACCAACCCCCCCCTCCTCCAGTTTTTGGTAACATTG